CTTAAGAATGGGTTTGGCTCTGAGGACTTTGTGAATTCTTTCTTGAAGAAATAGCATTTTAGGGACCTCTTTCCTAGATGAGGTTTATTACAATGTCCATGCATCTTTATATATCACTCTTGCAGTGCTTCTGCAGGGCCCAATAAGCTGCTTTTTTTTCTTTTCTTTTTTTTTTTTTTTCCTTGTAAGTGGGGCTCTTGTTTTATGCTTCTCATTTCAGTTTTCTTTTTGTTAAGTTCTCAGAAGTCTGCAGACTGGTTTGCTAGCAAAATGCAGATATTGATACAGAAATAAAATTTTAGTCTGTGGCATACTAAGCACTTTGAAAGACAAACTAAGCTAACTTGTGTCACCTGGAAGAGAATCTCTCATTCAAGTGTCCAGAAACATGGAACCCGTTGGGGCACTTGGAACGATTGCTCTCCATCCATCCGTACCCCACGAGATACAAAGGATGCCTCTTGCATCGAGTGAGGGGCAAGCTATCCACATCATCATGTGACTTTTAGCTTTGAAATTATTCTGATACGTCCATTCTCATTTACTTGCAGCAAATTCAATCATAAGCAGATATTTCGGAACCTGAAGACCTATCTCAATTGTTAGGTGTGATTTTTGAGTGTACTGGTTACTGGAATTGGGGTTTCATATCCCAGATCAGTTTTAGCATCTCTCCTCAACACTGAGCTCTTTCAAGGAAGGAAAAGATTGTAGTCTTTTTTTTATTATTATCTTCTGTTTTAAAAATTAAAGTGACTTTATTAGGCACATAGATTCAAGAGATCCTGCATCATTTTTTACTCAGAAAGGCTGAGAACATCCTGTCCATCTATTTTCTGTAACACAATGCAAAGAATCTCATTCGTGAAAATGACTCCTTGTTACTACAATCCTGAAGCAACCCTTCCTGTCGTTATTTCCTGCCCCTGTTAAAGAAACATGGAGTCCTGTTGAGAATTTTACCTGTAGTATTTAGCAAACAAGCCTAAAGCATTTTAAAGCGTTAGCATCCTGTGATAAGATGCTTTTCCTTAGTCAAATGGCTTGAAGAGTGGGTGTTGCACCCCCTCAGACCGCCCCATTGGTTTTCAGAGTGTTCTGTGAAATTTCTGCTTTTCTCCATCCTTTTCTTCTCGCCTGTTTTGTTGTTACTCTCGCCACAGTTCATCAGAGCTACGGTAAGGTACAGCAGTATGAGCATTCTCTCCCCGCTGCCGAGGCTGTGGAATTGGCTGAAGTATAGCTCCGGGACCAGCCGCGGCACTGCAGGACTGGCGATGGGGAAGCGTGCTCAGGCACACGCCTGAGGAAGTCAGGACAAAGTTTCACACTCCTTTCATCCTGCATCTGCCTGCTGCTCCGGCGGCGGGACGGGTTAGGCTGTAGTCAGATGCTGTAAAAATTCAGAGTGATATTTTTGTCCAAATTTGCAGAGGACGTTAAAACTTGTGCCAGATTTATGCTCTCTTTATGTAAGACTGCTAGCACAAATTTAACCTGTCAAAAAGACTTCACAGATTTGAATTGCAGAAGGAGTTTATGCTGGATCAGCATTTTGCACCGTGCGGCCGTAGCAGCTTTGGTCTACCACGTTTGAAATTATAAAAGCTTTTGGTCGGGTTCCCTAGCCAGCAGCGTAGTGTTTTAGGTGCCTCACATGATAGACAGTTGCAGATACAGAAGAGGAAAAAAAAAAGGTCAGGGATATTATTGTCATAAAAACATGAAGGCTTTGTGTTAATCGAGATATATTATCGAGATAAACTTTGGCTCGGGAACTGAACGCAGTTTAACTGGCAACTAGAGGTTGCCTGGGCGCTTCTCTCCGAGCCATATGGAGACAGCCTGGGCACCCCGCTCCCCTCCAGCCAAGGTCCCTGCCCTGCTCCTCAGGCTGCCTTCTCACATGGCTCCTTCTGGGAGCTTGGGGCTGCCGAGCCGGGGTCCCTGCTGCCAGGCAGCCGTCGCCGGGCTGAGGGCTGGTTCCCTTCAGAGGTGCCCGCAGCTGTCTTCTCAGCACCCCGACCCACTCTCTGAGCGCTGGGTGACTTCGGTTCAGAAACACCCCGCTGGTTTCACTCCTCTGCTGCAGCGACAGTTGGAGTGTCTGTGCAGGCAGTCCCAAAGAGCAAGGGTTTTCATCACGCGCGTTTATACCCCCCCTGCCACCCTGCGCTGCTGTCACCTCACCCTTCGCCCCTGAGGACGGACTGGGCCTGTGTCACCGGTGAGCTGCCATCACCTCCCGCACTGACGGCGGCTGGGCCATTCCCCAGACGCTCCTGGGGATGGAGGCCGGTGGCTCCCACCATCCCGCCGCCTGGGCGAGAGAGTCCAGCGGAGGGCTACGAGGATGATGAGCGGACTGGAGCATCTCTCCTATGAGGAGAGGCTGAGGGAGCTGGGCTTGTTCAGGGGGCCAAACTCTTTTCAGTGGTGCCCAGCAGCAGGACAAGGGGCAATGGGCACAAACTGAAGCAGAGGAACATGCTCCGTCTGAACATGAGGAAGAACTTCTTCCCTTTGAGGGTGACGGAGCACTGGAACAGGCTGCCCGGGGAGGCTGTGGAGTCTCCTTCTCTGGAGATATTCAAGACCCACCTGGACAAGGTCCTGTGCAGCCTGCTGTAGGTGACCCTGCTTTGGCAGGGGTTCGATTCGATGACCCACAGAGGTCCCTTCCAACCCCGACCATTCTGTGACTGTGATTCTGTGGGCTGCATGACCTCCGCCCTGCATGGGTCGCCATTACCCCTTCTCCATGCCAGTGCCGCTCCCTCACACGGAGCGGTGTTTCCCCTTTGCTTTACGAGTTCGGTGTCGGAAAAACATGAGTACGTCAGCGTTCCTAGGATGCGTGAGGTGCCCTTTGACTCGTGGGTACAGAAACGGCGCGTTTCGGTGCGGCGCCGTGCCCGGGCGCTGGGGCAGGCCCGAC